CACACACACACACACACACACACACACGGGCTCCGCCTGATCAGCGTTCCGCTCACAAAGTTGGTGCCTAGCTGCTCATCTGTGTCACGCGTCCATCAGTTCAATTGGTGTTGCATTGAAAGCTCCTGTGACCATGTCGGCCGAAGCTTCTGCCGCGCAGGAGGCGCAGATCAAGCAGGAGGAGACTGTTCAGTCAGGTTCCTCCGCATCGGTCGAGCCGCAGAGTGCTGCTCAGCCGCAAGCAGATGACCACCAAGCAGTGAAAGCGGAACAAGATGCCGATGCTGAAGCTGACGATGATGCTGAAGCTGATGGCGATGCTGAAGCCGACGCTGATGCACCAACGACACCGGCGGAGGACGCAGACGCAACCGCAACCGCTGATGACGTCAAGGTGGAACCGAAAGCAGAGGAAGCCGAACAGCCTGCACAAGAAGATGCTGCTGCAGTAAAAGCTCAAAGCGAACCAAAAAGCACGACAGAGCCACCAGCGGCACAGCAGCAGCCTGCCGCTGCCGAGCAAGAGCCCATCGCGGCCTTCACTTCTGGATCGGGACAGCCCCTGCAGCCTCACAAGTACATGTCGGTGGAGCAACGCAGGCAGCTGTTCGAAGAGCGCATCCGTCTCGAACCGCGCGATGGCGAAGCCTGGCTGGCACTCATCGAGGAGGCCGTCTCACGCCAGGACATGGAGGCTACACGCTCCCTCTACGACCGCTTTTTCAAAGTGTACCCGCACCAGAGCCGCCAGTGGCTCGCCTACCTCGAACTCGAGCTCGCCCACAGCAACTTTGCGCAAGTTGAGGCGATCTTTGCGCGCTGCCTGCGCACCACCCCATCCGTGGACCTGTGGAAGTTCTATCTCTCTTACACGCGCCGTGTCAACCCACTCCCGCCATCCACGGGCATGGAGGATGACGGGCCAAGAGAGCAGGCACGACGCGTGCTCGAGGGCGCCTACGAGTTCGCGCTGCGCTTCATCGGCAACGACAAGGAAGCCGGCCCGATCTGGACCGACTACATCGCGCTTATCAAGGAGCGAGAGGCGCGCGGCGGCTGGAAGGAGGGCCAGAAGATGGACGACCTGCGCCGCGTGTATCAGCGTGCGGTCAGTGTGCCGCTCTCCAACATCGAGGCCATCTGGAAGGACTACGACGCATACGAAAACGGGCTGAACAAGCTCACTGCCAAAAAGTTCCTCGCGGAGCGCTCGCCGGCGTACATGACCGCACGTCGTGTGCTCAGGGACCTCAAGGCATACACAGACCACCTTGCCAAGCCGTTGCTGCCGCGCGTGCCCGTGTGGACCACCTCGGCGCTGCCGGGCGACTCGAGCGAAGACGCCGAGCAATGGCAGCGCGAAAGGCAGCAGGTGGAGGCATGGACTGCGTATCTGCAGTGGGAGGAGTCCAATCCACTCGTGCTGGACGACCAAGCCACGATGCAGGCACGTGTGCTGACTGCCTACCGCAAGGCGACCATGTATCTGCGCTTCTTCCCAGAGGTGTGGTACCAGGCGTCGCGCTTCCTCGCCTCCACGGGCCGGCTGGACGAAGCAGCGACGTGGCTCAAGAACGGCATGGAGGCATGCACGGGCAGCTTCCTGCTCCACTTTGCCTACGTCGAGCTTGCCGAGGCGCGCAAGTCGACCGGCGACTGTGCAGGCGTGTTTGACGGGCTGATCGACAGCGTGCACGCCAAGATCGACGCGCGCCATGCGCGGTTGCAGCGCGACCTCAAGCAGCTCGATGCCGAGGCTGAGGCGGCTCGGGCGCAGGCGCGCGCGAATGACGACGGCGAAGCCGATGTGGATGGCGAGGAGCGCGAGCGCGAGCGCAAGAGTGCCGAGCAGCTGCAGGCTCGCAAGCAGGCACTGCAGGAGCTGGCCAAGCCCGAGATCGAGGCGCTCAGGGAAGCGAGTGCGCTCGTGTGGATCAAGTACATGCACTTCCTGCGCCGCACCGAGGGCATCCGACCTGCGCGTCTCGTGTTCGGCCGCGCGCGCAAGAGCCCGCACGTCACATGGCAGATCTTTGAGGCGAGTGCGCTGATGGAGTACCACTGCTCCAAGGACCCCGTCGTAGCCACCAAGGTGTTTGAACTTGCGCTCAAGACATTTGGTCACGACGGCGCATTTGTGGTTCGCTACCTCGACTTTTTGATCACCATCAACGACGACAGCAATGCGCGCGCGCTGTTCGAGCGCGTCATTGGTACCTTCACGCCCGAGCGCGCGCGTCCGATCTGGGAGCGCTGGTCTCGATACGAGTACAACTTTGGCGACACGGTCGCCATCCAAAAACTCGAGACGAGGCTGGCAGAGACGTATCCCGACGAGGCTGCGATCCGTCGCTTTGTCGCACGCAACTCTTACATGGATCTTGACCTGGTTGGCCCCCGCGATTTGGGTATGCGTGCTGCGGTCCTTGGAGCCAGTGCTGCAGATCGCGCGGTGGAGGCTGCCAGAGAGGGCGCCGAGGACGACGGCCCGAGGAGAAGGACGATGCAGGAGATGAAGCGGCTGGCAGCCGAGAGCAATCCGGACGACACGACCGGCAGCTGGTCGCGACCTGGCGCCGGTCCGCCTGCTAAGAAGTTCAAGCGCGATTCGGCGTCGCCTGCGCCTTATGGTGGATTTGCGCCCGCAGGTGCTGCTCAAGGTGGACCGATCAGGGACGCGTACAACGAGTTCCCCGAGGGCGTACTCGTATTCCTGGAGATGCTTCCCAGCGCGCGCTTCTTTGACGGACCCGTGTTCAAGCCCGACGATATCATCGAGTGCTTACACAGCGCCAACCTGCCCGCTCCGTCCGGTGTACCCATGGGTCCGTCGGGAAGGAGGCCTGCCACGCGTGGTCGCTTCATGCGCTGAACGCTTGCCGTCCTTCAACGTGTACGCCGGTGTGTGAAATCCAATCTTTTCCTGATGTATGAATTGCAAGGTTAGGTGTGAAGCGGGACATTGGCTTTGGTGAGTAGAGTGCGCAGCGCGGACTCGGACAAGACCCAGCCCGGCCTAGGTATTGAGCTGCTGGGCGCTAGGAATGCGCGCAGATTCGCCGCTGTCGATCCATGCGACAACAAGCCATCGTCGATGGACAGTGCCACGACTTCCGTCCTGGCCTCGCCAGTATTTCGATCCGTCCAAGCAATGCGGAAGTGCTGTGTAGGTCCAAGACTATCCAGTCCCTTCTGAAGCGCATCTTTCTCTTCTTGTCCCGCGTCGAGCTTTTGCATCTGTCGCTGCAACCTCGCATACGCCTTTGCGCGCTCCACGTCGATCGTCAGCAGTCCGCGTCGCAGGCTTCCGAGCGAGGAAGCGGCCAGCGCAGATGCAATCAGCACAAACACTGCACCGAGCGCAATCACGACAGGAGCACGTATTGCATCTGCAGCCTGCTCCTGTCTCCGTTTCGACGCGAGCGAGAGTGCCACGATCCAGCGCAGCACCGGCCCACCAACCCAGCTGTACCACCTTCCCCACCACACCTCGGCGATATGTGCATCGCTAGCCGCCGAAGCGGCAAGACTGCGGAACGAGCGCCACGTGGGGCGGAAGAGCGGTGCGAAGCCGAGTGTGTACAGTGGTGGGATAGAGAGCAGAAAGCTGATAAACGGCCGCAGGGTGGACGGGGCGGTCACGTCGTTGTCGAACCAGGCGCAGTGATGGTCGAATCCAACACGGCAGGTTGCGCAGTCTCCGCAGTGACGCATGCGGAAAGTCTTTATGCGTCCATTGCAGCTGTCTCTCCAGCAGCGGACAGGCTCGCCATCGGCACTGCAGAGTTCCACCGTCACGTTGTTGCCTTGCACGACGGATGCGATCGAGATGGTCGTGTCTGCCGGGTCGGGGTCAGCAAATGTTGCACCGAGCCGTGAGCGCAGCCATGCGAGCACGCCGCTCTGATTGTTGGTATGGCTGCGGGAGGGTGGCTGGCTGTGCGCAAAGAAGACGCGCAGGTACGCACGCAGCGACCAGAAGAAGAGTGCGTGCGTCGGCACGAGCCACAACCCCAACGGAAGGAGCCTGCCTTGCTGCAGGTAGACTTGACGATAGGCGTACCGCACGACAACAAGATCGTAGGCGTTCGCAACGTAGACCAGAAGAATGATCGGCACGATCCGACCCAGCACGCGGTTCAGCCGGATGCCCCGGCGACAGTTCGGAGGGGCGTGGGAATTCGGCTTTCCACCGTGACTTCGTGTAGGGTCCTCCGGCTCCTGTTTGGTAGTGTTTATCCCTGCTGATTGGCTGATGCGCTGACGCAGACTTGACGGCGCTTCTTGCACCATCGTCGAGCGAAGTCAGTTGATTGTTTGGTCGGAAGCGAGCCGATGGATGTCGTTTTGCCTTCGCGAGGCAGTGTTGGGCTCAGCATCAGGGTCCATCTGATGTCCGTGCAGCTGCGGCTGTCCCGACGAAAAAGTGGAGCCGATTCCCACCCGATCGGATCTTCCGAAGCTGCGACGCGAGCGCGTCGCGAAAAGTGAACCCGAGCCAAAAGAACAGCCAGAAAGATGCAGCACACGCGCGGCGGCGGGCTGAGCTCCAAGGCGACGCGCGAGCCCAGCGTCGAAAAGTGTAATTCTCGAGCTGTCGGCGAGACGCATAGAGCAGCCGCGCAGCCAAGCAGCTTCAGTCATCTGCGAGGCAGCATCCGAACGCGCGTGGGCCGGGACACGCTCCGATGCTCAGCTTCCTGCTCCATCGTCCATCACGCCGTCTGATCTTTTCGGCTCTCACCACATCATCCTTTGCACGCAACGCAAACACCCACAATCGTTCCAACACCGTCGTCACCTGAGCCTCCGCACAGAAGCCTGATCCAACTTCGCCCACGCGGCCTGCACATCGAAGCCTCGAATACACAACTACAGGGCGTTCTTGACTGACGCATCTGAAAGCAGCGAGACGCGTCTTGGTCGACTGCCCTTCTCCAGATTGGCTTACACGTCTGCAACATGGCGCGAACAACAACCCGAAAAGCCGGAGGTGCTGCAAAGCCGGCCCCACAACGCGAGGCTTCCAACGACATGGTCGACTCGGATGGCTCCCTGACCGAGCCCTCCTCTGAGGGCGAGAACAGCGAATCAGAAGTGGAGAGCTCCGAGGAAGAGATCGAAGAGGATGACGACGAGAACGACGGCGACTTTGGCTCGAGTCGAAAGAAGGCTGCTCCGCGTCGATCGGCCGGAGGGGCAGCGCCGCGTTCGAGGCAATCCAACACCACTCCGCGCGCCCGCAAGTCGGCAGGCACCGCCAAGACGCCCCGATCGGGCTCCAAGCGCTCCGGACCGTCTCGTCCCCGCGCTGGGACGTCCGCGGCTACTCCTTCCGCGGCTCGATCACGCGCAGCCGCCAGCAGGGACGAGCTCCCCATCAACGACGACAACGAGATCTTTGTCGCTGTCAAGGACCCCAACTCGGCCCTCCAGTCCATCGCAGAGGACTGGGTTGTCGCCTTCTCAGACAACGAGGCAAGCGCGCTAGCCGACCTTGTCAACTTCATCATCCGCGCATGCGGCTGCAACGGCAGCGTCGACGAGAATCAGGTCGTCGATATCGACAACGTCGTCGACAACCTTGAGGAGCTGCAAGAGGCCTTCAAGAAGCAGCCCATTCCATCGTACCCCATCGTCTCCCGCAGCAAGACCTTCAAGTCGTTCCGCAAATCGCTCAACGACTTTCTCCATCGCCTCGTCATGAGCGCGTACGACGCCGAGATTCTCACTGCGGATGGCTTCATGGAGCCGTACCAGGCCTGGGTCTCTGCCATGTCCTCGTCCTCCCTCCGATCCTTTCGCCACACCGCTACCGTCATTGCGCTCTGGACCATCTCGGCGCTCAGTGAGGTTGGCGCCCAGGCCACCAAAGACCTCGCCACCGCCACAAAGCAGCGCGACGCAGAAAAGAAAAAGGCACGCACGGACAAGAGCCGATTGAAGGACCTCGAGTCCAAGCTCGTCGAGTCGCGCAAGCTCAAGGCGCGCCTGGAGGAGTACATCAACGAATTCATCAACTCGGTCTTTGTCCACCGCTTCCGCGACTTTGACGCGGGCATTCGCTCCGAGTGCGTCAGCGCCCTCGGTTCGTGGATGAAGAAGCACCCGTCTCAGTACCTGCAGAGCTCCTACTTCCGCTACATTGGCTGGGTGCTCTCGGACGTCGATGCGAGCGTGCGTATGGCCGCCGTGCAGGCCATGACTGGCCTCTACACCGGCGGCAACTTTGTCAGCTCGGTCCGTCACTTCACCGAGATGTTCAAGGCTCGCCTTGTCCAGATGGCGACGGGCGATGTCGAGCTCGGCGTGCGCATCGCCACGATCAACGTGCTCGCCGTTATCGATAAGCACGACCTCCTCGAAGACGAGCAGCGCGATCTGCTCGCCACCCACATCTTTGACGTCGAGCCTAGCATCCGCACCGCCGTCGCCGGCTTCCTCGCCAACATTCTCGACGAGATGGTCAGCGAGGGCGCAAGCGAGCTTGGCTCGCTCTCCGCTGCCTCCAAAAAGAAGGGCAAGCAGGCCGAGGAGATGCAGCACGAAAAGGCCAAGCTGCGCTTCAAGTGCCTCGCAGAGCTGTTGGTCAAGTACGGCCATCGGCTCGACGCCGCCGCGGGCGCCGCCGAGTCCGATGCGGCCGAAGGGCTGGGAGTCGTCATCCACGGCGCCAAAGAGGGCCGTGTTGGCATGGCGGTTGAGGCGCTTTGGGGCGCAGTCGATGAGCTGCAACACTGGAAGGCGCTGTTGGATCTTTTGCTGCTCGACCACTCCGACAAGGCGGCTGCAGGTGGCAACAAGATCGCAGAAAATGCGGCACCGGCCGTGTATCGCCTCGACACGGACGAAGAGGCGGTTCTGGTCGAGGCCCTCGCGGCCATCCTGCGCAGGACCCTGGCCGGAGCCGAGGCGATCGACGATGCTGAGGACACAACCAAAGAGGATGTCTCTCGCGCCTCGATTGCAGCGCTGCCCAAGCTGTTCGCCAAGTACCGCACCGATGCGCCTCGCATCGCCGACCTGCTGCTCATCCCGCAAGTCTTGGATCTTGAGATGTACACCGAGCTGCAAGAGACCACCGCGTTTGAGGCTCTGTGGGATGACGTCTCGTCTCAAGTCCAGCGCCACGTCGAGCCTCTGGTGCTCAAGCATGGCGTGCAGACGCTGCAGAAGCTGATGGCCACCACCTCGCAGTCCAACGTCAACAGCACCCAGCTTTCGGCGCTGGAGGAAGCTCTGGTCTCGTCGTTGCGCGAGACCGTCAGCGACCGCGACGTGGAAACGGCGGGCTTTAGCGAGGACGAGGTGCATCTCTTGGCCGCCAACATGCTCCGCCTGCATCTGGTCAGCCAGGTGGCCAACACGAGCGATGCGCTCGAGGACGACGAGGGCGGACAGGCCACCAGCGGCTGGGAGATCGTACTTGGCATCGCAAGCCGTGGCCGCCTGGCGTACAAGGAAGAGGAGAGCCTGGTCCGCGACGCTATTGCCACGCTGGCGCTCTACATCATGTGGAAGACACGCCAGGTGATCCTGCCGGAAGCAGGCTCGCAGATGGCGCTGGCCGAGGCACTGCTCGCCAAGCGCACACCCGTGCTCAGTCTTCTGGAGGAATTTGTGGCCAGCACACAGTCGCAGGCGTGCATCGGTGTGCAGCGCGTGGCGTTTGAGAAGATCGCCACGATCCACATGCTGTACGCCGCCATCCCTCAGCAGACGCCGGCTGCTGCTACGGCAGACGATGCGTCGGTCGGGCAGGCAGACGAGGATCCTGCTGCTCGTCTTCGCGCTGGCCCTCAACTCCCCGCCTTGCTCAATCTGCAGTGCCATGCGGACCTGCAACAGCACTGCGCCCACTTTGTCAAGGCCGAGATCGAGCGATACATCGAGAAGTCGGGTGTGCTCGAAAAGGAGGCCAACGGTCATAACGATGCTGTCCACGATAGCAGCGACGAAGAGGCGGCTAACGGCAACCACAACGAGGACCAGGATGAAGAAGACGACGAGGACGTCGAAGCGACGCCTAAGGCCTCGCGCGTCCGCGGTGGCAAGAGCAAGAAGGCCAAGAAGGTCGCGTCGGCTGGCAAAGCTTCGAACGGAGCGGGCGCGCACAGCGAGCGACCGAATGAGGCGCAGCTGCAGGCCGAGCACACATTCTGCTCGGTGATCAGCACCTTTGTCGCGGCGATCCGAGTGGGCGTGATCGACGCCAAGCACTCGACGGTGGTGCTGATCCACTTTGGCCGTCTGGGTGCGATCTACGACTCGTGCTGCAAAGCGCTGGTCGAGGTGCTCAAGGAGGAGGCGATTTTTGGCGGGTATAACCGTGCGGTGATTGTCGAGAGCTGCATCTGGGACTCGCTGCGCGAGGCGTTCGAACTGTACCTCGACGGCGGCGATGCGGGCAGCGAAGCTCGATTCGTGTCGCTGTCGCGCCAGCTGGCGAATGCGCTGGTGGTGCGCGGTGCGGGCTTCACGGCTCTGCGCAAGATCGACGCGAGGTGTCTGATCTCGCTGCACAGCCGGGCGAGCGAGCACATTGCGCAGAAGGTGGCGGCGGCCGAGCGCAACGGCGACAAGCGCGTCAAGCAGAAGATGCCGGCGCTGTACAAGGGCATGGCGAACCTGCTCATGACGGCGACGCCAACGGATGCGGTCAAGATCAAGAGCGCCATGGATCGCGCGTTCCGTGCGGCCAACGTGCAGGTGCCGTCCGCAGCCAAGGCGTGGGATGCTCACCGTTCGTACGAGAAGCGTCTGCTCAAGATTGCGGCCAAGAGCGCGCTGTTTGCGCCCGCCGCGGCGGCGTCGGGCAAGAAGGACAGCGGAGCGGCGCGGAAGGGCGCAGCAGCAGCGGCGAAGAGCGGTGAGCTGTCGGACAGCGGCGGCGAATTGACTGACGACGATGCGGCCGAAGACGACGGATTGCCCGCCAACGGAAGCCGCGTGCTGCCGACACCCGTGCGCAGCTCGCAAAAGCGCGACCGTGCCGAGGCCGAGGGCGGCGAGGAGGAGGAGGAGAGCGACAACGAGATGGACGACCACCCGGTGGTTGGCAGCGAGATGGCCGATTTGGATGTTGACATGCCGGCGTCCGAGGCTGGGTCGCTGCGACTGGACCTGGACGACGACGGCGACGACGAGGCCGCCGCCGGCGATGCGTCCAGGCGCAAGCGAATCAAGACGTAAGGCCGAGCGAATCTTTGCAATTGCAATCAGTTATTTCCCCACTCACCCGTACAAGGAGAGTGAAGCGGAAATGAAGACGGGTGCGGCAATCTCGAGTGCGGGCTGGAGTGATTGCAGTCCACGTGATGCACGGGTGGCGGCGGTGGAATGAGATGAGAGAGGGATGCGCGGGTGTTGTTTGTCCTGCGCGTCCGGTGCGGTTCTCACGGTCCCAGGCTGAGCGTAGCGTTGCCGGTGGGCGTGGGAAGAAGCGTGCAGTGATGTACGGAAATGCCGGCGCCCCAGCAAGAGGGGTTCGCGCTAGAACGCAGCGGCAACGTCACACTACAGCTTGAACGCGATTTAGAGCGTGAGTGCAACTACTGTACGGCATTTTTCGGAAGAGATGTCAGTGCGCCTTTGTCTTTGGGTCGCTGTTGAAAGTGCGCGCAAGGTGGTTGGCGGGCTCGCGTATGGCAAGACGGGGGCAGTGGCAACAGAAAGATCGCACTGGTTGAATGCTGTTTGCTGTTGATTGGCGGCCTTATTTTAGGGTGTTGGACCCTCGGGTCTTTCAGCCACGCACTTCCGTTGGATCTCCCCGGTGGTCACCCACATTTCCGCGCGCGCACGTCAAATTTGCGGCGCCGTCAGAAAAAAAAATCCATTTGCTCCTCCCGGCCCAAACCCGTGCCAATCAGTGCGCACATGCAAGGGACGGCGGCTTGGTCCTCCAACTTGTGAGCACATCCACGCGGAGGCCGATGACAACCGCGCGGGTCATTCGACTCACCGACTGCTGGCGGAGCTTCAAAATCCGAAATGGCCGCATCGTTGCCCGGGGTGGTTGTCGGAGCGTGCCCGAGGCTTGCATTCGAGAGCGGACAGTGGGATGAAGAGGCAACAGTCCGAACTCAGACGAAAAAGCCCAAAATGGGCAGCTATCAATACCAATTCCGCACTTCAAAGGCCGCGCTCGTACGGCAAGAGTGACGAGGCTCGCGACGGCCGGCCGAACATTTACATTGCCGCAAAGCCAGGCGTTTCGGAGCCGTGCAGCCAGTCTTGTTTGCTCAGGGTCCGCTTCGCCTCGAATTGAGGGCTCTGGCGGCCCTCCAGCCGAGCAGGGCGGATATAGTGCGAGCAACGCTAAACTCGGACTGCCATGCTCGGCTACCGAATTGTTCTTTTCAATTCTTCTTGCTTCAGGGCACTCACAAAGAGGGCTTCGAATCTATCGACGTGGAAGTGCGGGACAACTCGCTCTCGCGCGCAAAGCTACCCAGCAGCATTTTCACTATTTTGTATCGGCTAGCGTTGATGGAAGGGTGCTGCTCTAGCCGGGCACGGAAACTTAGCGAGCGGCCGAAGCTGGAAGGAGTTCCGTCTGAGTTCAAGAAGCTATGCGCCGCGCTCATCTCGGCAGTGTGAACTCAGACGGAAAGTGATGTGACCATGCAGCGTCGACGAACAAACTCGCGCTCGTCTCGGTCCAACCAAGCTGAGAGAGGTGGGTCGCTGGTGCGTTGCGGTGAGGCGGGGTGGAGTGCAATGCGGCGCGGCGTTCGAAGGATTTTGCGAAGGATTTTGGATTCGAAATTTTCACGCTGTTGGCTCTGCGCTTCACGCCGCGTCTTCGGTGCTAAGCGGCGCACACCCCCACTCCAAATCCACAAAATCACATTCCAGGGCCGGTCTGAAGCGAGTTGCCACTGGCTCGGCCGGATTCCGACTTCGCCACCCTGCGCTCCTGCGCCCCGTGACAATTGCGAGCGAGGCCAACCCAGGGTGCAGCAAACGCCACCGCGCGGCCAACGCAGTTAAGACAGCCAAAGTGCCTCTCGGCTGCGTCCCGCTCTGTGGCAACGATTTGCCACCCACCCTTAGACCCTTAGAGGGGTTTCGCCTGTCAACCTTGAACCTCGTGCGCCCACGCCACCCGCCTCGGTCTCTCGCCAAGCACACTCACGACTTGCCCTGTCCGCCGCCCTTGCGTCGCTTCTTGAGTAC